ATTCCAAACGCAGTTTCGTAGCCTTAACCGGATGTGGATTTCAGTGGCATGGTCAGCAGGATTGAGTTCAACCTTGATAACACGGCTCAAATTTGAGTCGCCTTCTTGCCCAGTGCTGTATCTGCACATAAAGACACACAGGTTTTTGGATGCAGATGACTTAGCTTCAATCAACCCAACATCCGTGAAAGTCCGTCCTATCATAAGCTGCGTGGGTGGTCCTACTGACAGGATTGTTTGGTTCCTTAATACCATTTTGGTGCAGCTCCTCAAGTTCATACCTTCCCACCTCACAAACACCCAAATGTTATTGGATCGCCTTGGCGCACTGCACCTCAGTGGTTCGTGCGTTATGGAATCCTTTAATGTAGAAGGCCTCTACACAAATGCTAGCAATGGGTCTGCTATAGACGCCATATTTGAGCTTCTTAGTGAGCACCAGAACGATATTGCTATGCGAGGATTTTCTATATCCCAACTGATGAGAGTGCCTCAGTTGCAACGTTTTCAAGTGGTCAGGGAGGTATTCCGCACAGAGGTTTAGCTATGGGACAGCGATTGGCACCAGTTTTGGCTATACCATTTATGATCAAGATCGAAGCGCCTGTACTGGAATACCTGCCCTTACTTTACTGCAGGTATATCGATGATTCTGTGTCTGTGCAAAACAGGAAGAAGCAGATGTGTATTTGGTTTACTAACTCACAATCGGAGACATCACATTAACACAGGAGAAACCGACCAGAAATTGGCATCCTTTCTTGAACGTTCAATTGAGGTTACAAAGCGATAAGATTGTATAGAAATCCAGCAACAAGAATATCATTGTCCATTATCACTCAGCTCATCCTTTTTATGTAAAACGAGCGGTTGTTAGGAATATGTTCCGCACTGCAAAGAAGGTTTGCACGGGAGAGGATCGGAAAAGAGGAAAAGAGTCGCTTAAAATGGCACACGATATAGCCTGGTCGAGCGGCTACTACAATTTTTCAACTACACGTAAAGCTTCTGCTGGCGGTTTGATCCTCAGACATGGTAGTACTTGAATGGGAGGAAAGATTCCTTTTGTACTACTATTCATTTCTGATGAGGTCAGTGCTTCCATCAGAAAGTGCCTAAAGAGGTCGGGTTTGGGAAATTTAGTTGCTGTTGTAAACGTACCAAATCTAAAGAAGCGCCTAGTTCGGAACAGGCTATACGAACGTCTCTGTACAACCTCAAACTGTGTGGTCTATCCAGCTGGAAGAGAAGGTGATTGTCTGGAGTGGTCTACAAAATTACTTGCCGTGATTGTGGTGATGATTATATGTATTGGCCGAGACAGCGAGACCACTCCACGTGAGGGTTAAGGAGCACATAGGTGGTATGAGACGATTCAAGGAGTCTACTGCCTTAGGGAGTCACGGAAAGCATAATGAAGGCGTCATTGAGGTTACCGTAGAATTCGTAGCATAGGAGTCGGAATAGTGCGCACGCAAAACCCTCGAGGCATTTTGGATACAAATCACTGATCCAAAAATGAGTCGTAGGAAGGAATGTCTCGCAATCACGCGGGAGCTGCGACCTTATATAAGATCGGCCTTCCCGCAGTGACTTTTAATGGAGATTTGCCCCAGCCGACACTGGACGGTTGGTACCATCACTTGCTGGGTGGTTTCGAAGATTCCACGAAGCTACGGTTGGTGCCTCTCCTTTCGATCACTTGCATGTCCTGGGGTCTCGAACTTCGGTGAGTTGGTGGAGACGTTTGGTCGGGTAGTCACAGATTGTTATGATCCTATCAGGCCCTGGAGAATGCGATTTCGCCGAAACGTCAGCCTAATGAAGCTTGTTTACAAACCTCGTGAAGAGATCAGAGAAACAATAAACTCAACTATGTTCAAAGTTAATTCGTTCTTTGAAAATAACCACAAATCAAAATCATATCAGATAGGCCTACATGAAAAGCATTTATACTCTTGCTATCATAAAGAAGTTAAACCACTGCTGACTAAATCTGCCATAGGTAGTATGGGAGAATGATCTCCTCGTAATGTAGTTGAACAGTATAGTAATAAGTATTATATGTCTTCAGTCCACCGGATAAAGCGGGAAATAATTACGGTATAATTTGTGAAAATTTTTATTTGAGCATCATAATGAAAGAAATTTGAATTATGTATAACGCGCTGAAGAAAACATATACCGAAAAGATGAGAACTAATAATACGTATAAATTCATGCAGTGTAATAATAAGTACTCATTGGTATTGAAAGGCGAATTTCTTTGCATCCGTAATAAACTCCAATTAATTCCAGTGGCGGATTTATCAATTATTTATGCACTTTCGAAGCTACATAAACTTCCCATCAATTTCAGTTTCATAACGGGTGCTCATAACAGTAGTATCAAACCTTCAGTTCAAGAATTACACATTATCTTTGAGTTTCTGATGAAACACGTTATATACATTACTGTAGTACAGAGCAGAAACAGAACTATAAAAACATATTGGTATATAAGTAGTAATGATATTAGTCATGAGCTCAGCTCCATTACCCATGATAATCATAAACTATAAATTGCCGACTTTGCCGATATGTTTACAAACTCAAATCACAATTTGTATATAAGTAATATATCGGAACTTTTAAATATCTGCCTCAAAAATGTTAGCAAATCAATGATAATCTCCACAGGGTTCCATGTTTTCTATACAAACAGTACAAAAATCAAAAATAACTACAGATACCATAAGATTAACGACTTGCTTCATTTTACCGATTACTTGTTATCTAACAGCTTTTGTATTTCTGCTAATGACATTTACAAACAGTTGAATGGTATTCCTCAAATAGGCAACTTTATTCCCTTTTTGGCCGATCCCACCCTTTCGATTATCCTACTATATATAATTCGCTAAGTGTATCTATTGGTTTCTCGGTGTGTTTGTTTGTTTGTGTGTGTGTGTGTGTGTGTGTGTGTGTGTCAGTGTGTGCGTTTGACTTTGAAATTCATAACTCTTATTCCAGTGGACCTAAAGCGCTGAAATTTGGTACGAGTACAGACGGCGTGATGGGAACGCTTATAGCAGGTAGCAGGACCAGACTTCGCCACCAGGCGGGGCGTGCGTGAGAGTTTTTCGACTCCTCTTTATGGGGATCAAAATGTTGGAATTTGGTGGGAGTACAGGCGACAAGTTGTGGACTCTTGGTTGTGGTTTGCACGAAATAAATGATTGACCGATATTCATAACTCCTTTTCCTGTGAACCCAAAGAGTTGAAACTTGGTAGGACTACAGCTTTTCGCATTAACAGTGGAACTTGAGCATTTTAATAGTGTGATGTAGAATAAGGCGGGATCGTAGGTACTCGGTGACAGTAAACGACGATAACTGATAAGAGAAGGTAAGGGGCCTAATTGTAAGAGAGCAAGAGCCACCTACTGATCAAAATCCTAACCCTTCGGTATTTATGTAGTTTGACTGTTCAGTATGTTTCATTTGATAAGTCGGGATGAGTAGGGTGACAAAGGTGAGTGGTTCTACCACTCGCCTTTGTCACCGATAACCTGGAATTCTCGATCCTACTCTATATAATTAGCTAATTTATGTGGTTGTGTGTTTGTGTGTGTGTGTGCGTCGGTGGGTGTGTTCCACCGGAGTTCATAACTCCTGTCCCCGTGATTCTAGAGTGTTGAAACTTCGTAGAAGTAGGGGGGGGGGCAGGATTGGAACATATATGGTTGGTGGCAGGACCAGACTCCGCTCACAGGTTATTAATGAGTATGTGGCATTTACAATGACTTGCGCTGTCAGCTGATCCTCTCAGACGAATAAGGTACCGTCTGATACTGATGATTGAGGACTTCCTTGCCCTGCCTAGCCTCGATCCTTGATCCGATTACTGGACCTTGCGTGTTTGATAGTGCGTCACTTGCCACTGTGCCACCTCCGCCCTATTAGAAAACTTACTAGTATTTCACCCAGTACAAACAGCAAGCTGACATCCATCTTAGAAGTAGACCAGTACAACTCATTAATTTTGTTGGTTGAAATTACATCGTTCCAAGTGGTCGTTCTTACTTAAATCTTGGAGAATCATTCGAGCTCCTTTTCTTTTCCGTTATCCGCCTCAAGCAGCACCTCGACGTTGGGATACACAACAAACGGTGGCTAGCTTGGGCTTAGATGATGAATTGTACCGAATGTCGCCATTCGAATAAGTAAACAAATAAATAAGCAAGAAAAAATCAAAGTCTAGTGAGTTTCAAGTGTGTTCTACATAATCTTTCCACCCATTTTCAACTCACAGTGGCTCTGAGATATGGATGTTGACTGTGGCCTTGATCGCCAGCCCATACGAGTAGCACCAGATTTTTCAGAAGTGTCCCACGTACGTTCTTGTAATAGACAGCTGAGGATCATAATGCGACGCTTTGAATTCGAGGAAATAATTAAAATACAGATGTGGTTTATCCTTCAGAACAAGGATCAGTCGATCCTGGAATGGTGGAAGGCTTGTTGCTTGGTCTGGGGCGTTATCATCCCAGTGGTAGCAGCGAAATACACGCTACATCCACAGCGACACAGCCTCCACGTTTAGAACTATCCTCCTGCTTATATCGTACACCATGTATTGCCGATTGCATCCCTACTCCATTAATATGCCGGTGAGGTCGACCTTTTCCAGAGATGTTTCAGGCTTCTGAATGTGATGGTTAGGGAACATCCATAAAAACCTGCTACAAAGTAGGGTTTTCAACACAAGAAATGGGGAAGCAGATATCACAACATATCAACTCATCCCTCAATACACGCCACTAACTTCCAAGTAGTATGGCAGGACAACTACAAATAACTGCTGCTACTTGCCCCGTGTTTACAGGCCATGCTAAGCTAAGGTTTTCGATGCACTCGCGACTAGGACCACCCGCTGAAGAGCACCAACCACTCCTTGGTGAAGCTCCGCCTCCGCCCGACATCGGGTCTCACATCCCAGGTCTATTCAGTCGACCGTGATGTTTTTGGCGGAGCTCATTTTCCTTTTTGCCTTGTGCCTAGCAAAAGAGATCAAACAATTGCCAGGAGTTGGATTCGAACTCAATTTCAAGCATTATTCCGGGTTCTTCCAAGTCTCCGACACTCATGTACTTCACTACTGGTGAGTTTTCTCCCATATGGTGAAAGTTCCCGAAATAACAGTTCGATCTAAACTGCAAAACTTAATGGTAACGATTTTAGGCTCGTTGAATCTCAGAATGAGCCGGATAAAGACCCCCTGATCTTCTGGTTCAATGGTGGTCCAGGATGTTCCTCTTTGGGAGGTCTTCTCAAGGACACGGGACCGTACTTAGTGAATTTCGACGGTAAAAGCCTCAGGAGGAACCCATATTCTTGGAATAAAGTAGGTACTTTTATAACCTTAGGAAGGTCTTAGTTTTTTTCCTATAAAAAAAGTACGGATTTCAGATGGCTTCAGTGGTGTATATCGAATCCCCTGCGGGAGTCGGATACTCCTATTCCACCGATGAGAACATCACCACCAATGATGATCAGACTTCACTTGAGAACTACGAAGCTGTCAAGCAATTCTTCCAGGTAGTCTTAAAATAAGGGTTCAATTTTTTTGAAGGCGAATCCAATTCAAAATCACAGACTTTTCCTCAATTCCGACATCACGCTACTTTCATCATGGGGGAATCATATGGAGGTGTGTATGTACCAACATTGGCTGAAAGAATCCTTGTTGGCCAAAAGGAGTTCCCCATCAACCTAAAGGTAAGTCTGAGCTTAAGTAACACCCTGAATCTGGCACATGGCTGCAAATGTTACTTTAAAGGGAATCGCACTTGGGAATGGTTGGGTACACGAAAAGTTAAACATCGACACTTCCATTCGATACGCCTACGGCCATGGAATCGTCGATGAAAAGACATGGAGTACAGTTCAAAGGGATTGTTGCGGAGGCTTCATCGACTCCTGCGATCTTACTCAGGTACTAGACCTTCGGGACGTTGTTCTTTCCCAGTTTAGGTTAAATTCTCGTTCGCACAGCTTAGGAAGTAAAAATCACAAATGTTTGAGTATGTTTCAGGGACAATCTAAAACAGTTGTCATTTCAATTGTATAAATTTGTCGCATGATATTTTACTTTCTTAAGAGGAACTGATTTGCTTCCTTAAAGAACAACCTCAGGCGATAGACTGTCTTGCATTCGGGCCGAGCAAGCTTTTTGCACAGGCGTAGTTCCATTTCATTTGCAAGAGTGATTTGAACTTCAGGTCGCCGGTCATTGTGCCACTATGTTAGAAGACATCTACCATTCCATCTGGAGCGGTGGGCTGGATCCCTTTGACTTGTTCGGAAACTGCGACTCAAAACCGACAAACAACAGCGACAGGACGTCCCACATGCTTCAAGGTACGCTTCATTACTTGTAGATTATGTGGGTGACCTCCGTTTGAATTCTTTCTTAGAAGTCGCGACCCAATACGAACCCTTTGTTCTGTCCAAGGAGAAGACGAGGGACCTTATGAGCTTCGTGAGGGTTAGTGAATTGTGGTTCATTCGAACCTACGTTGAAAACGGTCTTCCTCTAGGCTGAGGAGTCCAGACACCATTTCCTATGCGAAAACAACACAAATATGGTTACATACATGAATTATGGTGAGGTTCGACAAGCCCTTAACATTCCGAGCAACTTACCTAAATGGAAGATTTGCAGGTAAATTTGTTTTTTTTNTTTTTTTTGGGTCGTGTCATGAGGCATAATGTTTCGTTTCAGTATCCAAGTCACTAACGCTTATAAGAGACAGTACGGAGATATGACGCCATTCATCAAGAAGATCGTCGCCGCAAATGTCCGAGTACTCCTCTACTACGGAGACACAGATATGGCTTGCAACTTCATGATGGGTCAAAAATTTGCCGATCAACTTGGATTGAAAGTAAGTTGTCATTCTCGTTACACCTGGCTTGAACAGAGGAAGACGAGGGCTCCGTCTATAAAGCACTGTTTGAGATGCGCCCTTCTTAAGGTCCTCATCCGAATCCCTAGAGGTTTCCGTATGCAAAGTAGCCCATAAAATTAGAGCAAAAAAACGTCAAATTCCCCCTTGGCAGATGGATCCGGTGAAGTTTAAGTGGTCTGAGACTGAGGTCGAGCCGAAAGCACTGTTCCATTAGCTCTACTTAGGATAGCCCCATTCGCTCTTGCGATGCATCCACCTCCATCGTAAGCTACCTCTTCCGAACAGTATGTTGTTCAGCAAACACTCGACAGAGCCCCATGGAGGTTCGACCGTCAAATCGCTGGATTCAAAACGGTATATGAAGGGCTTACCTTTATCACAGGTACTTATCCTACTGTCCAACTGCTTCATGCGGTTTGATTTGAAAGAAGTCTCCACTGAGAAGTTTCATTTACCGTATTTTAGTACGAGGTGCGGGTCACAAGGCACCACGACAGAAAGCTCCTCAGATGTGCTACGCCATTCAACAGTTCCTGCTCAATCATCCTATTTGAATTGATTTTTGAAAATAAATATTGGAATAGCTTCTTCTCAGAAATTTGCTGACTAACAGCCTACATATTATTTATGCCCAAACTACGTTATATAAACATAAACAAATCGTTTGTTACTAAGCTATCACTTTAGGAACAAAGTTCATTCCCAATATACTCTCTACTGTTTATCTTGAAAAGGATAAATCCTTTTGCGGTCGATCAGCCGCCGCTGAGGAATGTGCCCCCGCATTCGACTTCCATTCAGAATCGTAGCGGGGTAATTGAATGCATATGCGGACTATACAGTGACCTGCGGGGGCCAGCCGATGTACATGCCAGTGCTCCTGTCCTCCCAGACGAGTCTAGCACCAATTAACCGACCTCGAAGAATGGAGGACTTGGTTGGCCTAGGCGGATAACGATTTTGAAATCGACCACGTGGCCATGCGTGTGTGATAGTGCGCCACTTGCCACTGCACCATTTCCGCCCGCTATTTACTTCGTACCGATATGTTCCTCTATGTACGCCTGTTGACCTCATATTTTGATATAACCTGGCAATTCACATGCACTATGAAAACAACGATGTGCGGACTGGGATAAAGAAATTATAAGGTAAATATAATCCAAAATTTCCAAAGTTGTTCCAAAGTCTAACTTAACTGAGCTTTGCTCAGTTTAAATCGATTTTTCTGTATTTTAATCAGCAGCGAGCGTTGACCGGATGGAAATTTTTGACTCTGTTCCAGGATAGCTCAAGTACCCAGATGTGATAGGAAAAACATGTGTGAGTTGTTTGAGGATCTGGCTTCAATGGCGGACACTTTGACTAGTATAATGTGGACCAAACGGTTGATGAACGGTGAAGAATTCGACGGAGACACGAAATGAAGCGCACCCGTGGTGACTTAGTTTCGACGGAAAAACGGACGTTCCCACTCGTCCGGATGCATTTCCAAACGGAAGTTTCCCCTCGTCCAGTTGTGTTAGAGCGCTGACTTATACATCGGCTGGCCCCTGTACAAGTCATTGCCGTGAATTACTGTATAGACCACACACATTCAAAAAGCCACTAGATTCTGAACGGAAATTAAATGCGGATCGTATCCCAAGATGGGATGGATCAACGCCGAAAGACTCTGGTACCAGAAGACCTGTCGAGTCATGAGTTTCCCTAACAGGGGTCATCAGTAGAGGTAGAGCTACTGGTTCATTGTTGATCCCTATGGGTTGTTGTTTTTTGTGACTGTGGTGTTTTTGAACAGCGATTCAATTTCCCTGAAAATATAGTTCGATTGTTGATTTCTACGATTATCGAACAGAATAGGAACAGTTCAAGCGCTGGTGCATTACCCTATTCGGCAATGATAATGCATGTTGTTTACTAGACATAGTTTATCAGTACTGATAATTAATGGCGGCTATCCCTAGTTGTCAGTTCCCAATCATTTACCCTGCCCATCTACGACACATCTATATCTATTCTAGAATATTGAAGAGAGCAAGCGAGTCTAGATGACCCGCTAGTAATTCGAATTACCAACTCTCGTAGACAGACATGTTCATGTTGTAATTACCACAAGTTGCTTCATCTTTATTTTCAAATCATCCTGCACGGCTTGACTATCACTCGCCACGGTCGCTTAACTAACATGCACATTAAAAGCCCTTTTGCAGAGGAACTATATAGTTGGTCGTCTCCATAGTGGAGAGGGCTCGGAAAGTAAGCTTCAAAAGTCGGGGGAGGGTGATTCGAACCTATGCTTCCAGTTTCAAAAAAAAAAAGTCCGTGAGTAAATACTCTGTAGGAAGTTTAACTTTTTCTTTTTCTTCATACTAATTATTTACATCGGCTGTACTAAAAATTGACAAATTTAATGTTGATAAGATGACAGGGCTCCAGCTATTCATCAGTGTTGTATGATGAGCATGTTGTAAAAGGAGCGCCGATGGGGTGGTGTAAGACGGCCACTTTTTTAAACGAATCTAAAACTACCGTCCATGAATCAAATCCCATGTCAATCCTTGTTCTGAACAACCAAGCTTTCTAGCCTGATGGGATCGGATGCTCAGGAGCATCCTGAATTGGGATTTGCGAGAGTCAAAAAGTTCAGTTTCAATTTCATCAGAATAACAAGTAGTAGGTCACTTTTAAGCAAAATCCCTGCCCTTATTTCTGGCAAAAGGTCGGTTTTTAGCATGTAGCATCTAAATCTGTGCAAAGAACAGGTATAAAGTCCTGTAAAATGTCCTCGATTCACTTCGATTTACTCCCGAACTTGATGGGATTGAAGGCCAGAAACTTGCTCAGGGTACGCTTTTACACATACTACCATCCACTGGGTAAGGAAGTTACCACCGTGAACTTCCGGATCCGAGATGACACGATGGACTCCAATCCAGTACTTTTATTTCCTGGCTAAATCAGTCCACTACGCGTGAGCCATTGCTCAAGTCTCCACTGATTCTGTTTCCATCGGTTGAGAGAAAAATTATCTGGTTTTTCATAGCTCATCATTTATCAACAGAGAATGTGCAACAATAGACTCGATCCGCCCACAGCGCACAGCTACACTTAGCTAGTTGTCTCGTTGCGCGCCATGTCAAACTTTCATTTGAATGTGTTGATGCTCAGCCATGCGTGCGTCCTGAATTCAATGTTCTTTACCCGTTTTATCTTCTTCTGAAACTGTCTAGCAGCCAAATACACTGTATACTATACACATGCGATTGAATTTTTATACAAAAGCCTTATTGGGATCTTATATTTTGGTCAGTTTGCCAAGGTAGGGTCCGAAACTTAATCT